TCTTCTAAAAACGCCTTCTTAGATCGTTTGAAATTCGTTAGTAGAGGTCTGTGTTGCTGGTTACTCATCTCTCTATTTTTATATAGGTTTCTAAAATTTTTATCATTTTTTATATCGACTTGACTTGACATGTTTTTTTTATATATTGTTATTTTTATATATAGACCATTTATTTAAGGCGGTTGTAAACATAGCGTGTTTTGCTTTGAACAGAGCCATGCTTTAAGTAGAGGTCACGAGTTCAGGTCGGGCAAGTCTCGACTTGTAGCAAGGGGAAATCCCTTTTTTTGTTTGCGTAAGTCAGTACCAGTCACGAGTTGTTTAGTCAGCCGGGATCAAAAGTTCAAGGTCAGTGAAGTGGGAATCCCCGGCGCTAGTCACGAGTTGTTTACAGCGAGCAAAGCGAGCGGCGCCGAGGTCAAAAGGTGAGTGGAAATTCCCCCGAGATTCTTGGGTCGATGTACTACCCAAGGGCTTTGATCAAAAACTGGGGATCTCGCACTATTCTGGATTTTCCCATTTTTTCCCATTTTTCCCCACCAAAAATGTTTCGACGATTTTTTGGGTCGATGTACTACCCAAGGGCTTTGAGCAAAAACCGGGCAAAAAGGGGCGTGTGATCCAGAACCGGCTCTTCTCTACTACTTGTGTAAGCTAATCGAACGCACCCATTGTGACTTGACCCAGCACCCAGAGAGCTTTGTTACACTATTTCAGCCTATCCACGTAAAATGTGCACAGATGCGTGTGTGCGCATGATGGACATCGCAAGATATCGCACACTTACCTCTGGAAAGCAGAGACGAATCGGGGAATAGAACAAAAACGGGTAAATGGGAGGCCAAGTGCACTTTCTCGGCCCTTACCTTTTCTGGGACAATCCCCAAACCCTCCCACGGCAGGGGCCGGTGGCTTTACACTTCCTCCCGGAGAAAAATCTTGGCAACAACTCCCGTGGTGCGCATACGAGTTTTGCAAGGAACCCACATCACTCACTGATTTCGCGAGAAGTCACAGAGGCCTATCGCCCCGTGCTCTCTTGTTGTGGGCCCACATAATACGTATGTTCTCTCACTTATCAGTATTCAGATCATAATTGGATAGGCTAGGTTCTGTCTGAGCCACATCGTCCACGTGACCTGCACCTCCTGCGCACCGGAATGGCCACAAACATCGCTGAAGCGCACACAAAGATGGCGATGATGACCACAATGCCGACAGTATAACCACCAGTGGTGTCATTCAGTACACCTATCGATGTAAAACAGTACCAAAACATATGACCGTTGTGTGCTTGACATCATCTTATCCAGGCATGCGTCTTACAAACATACACAAATAAATGTAGCTGTAAACTTTTGCACTCAGGGCTCGATGTTGCAAGAAAGTCTGTTTTTACCTGATAGAGGAGCACTTATCAGTATTCCGATCCCTGAGGGCGCTATTGATAGCACCATGGTGGTATCTACGCCGAAGGTCTTGTGAAACACTTGTGCACAAGCTGTGAACGTTGGCCCATAGGCACCGGCTCGCATTACGCCAGACCCTGTTGAAAAAAATTAAAAGCCCAAATTATACACACGACATGAAATCGAAGGAACGGCCATAGCCATGAAGGTACAAATAGAGTTAATAATTATTATGGAGCAATTTTACCGAAAGCGACGGCCGCAACGGCTGCATAAGACTTGGCAATGACCAGTGATCCCAGGAGAACTGTCCCAAAGACACAGGATGTGAAGATCCAGTACACATGCATGAAGGGCATGTGATCACCAACCACACCGATGGACATCTTCCCGAGGATTTCTCCACTGGCAAATATCATAATGCAGGATGATATCTGCTGGCTGTTGAAGTCAAGCCCTTCCATGAAACTGGCCTGCAAAGAAACAAACAAAATAAAATACATAAAATACATGTACCCATACCTCGCCTTTTTTCAGTAAATGTCAATTTTATAGCATTCGGGACCATCGTTGAATCATTGTCTTATTAAATTTGAACCCCCCCAAAAAAAATAAATAAGACTCGTAGGTTTGCATGGTGCTTCTACAAACCTTCCATGAGTAGAAAAGAGAACCACGGTTTGCGCAGAACAGACAAATCAAATCATACATCGGGACAAAAATAATCAATAATTAACGATGGTATAAAAAGATAACTTTGTTAGAACTCATTGGAAAAGTTTGTCATTCCAGAGTGACTATTCAAAAGGACAACGGTAGGCCTACCATTCTCATGTCGATTTGTTCTACTTTGCAGGTGCATTTGCATTGCGGTATACTTACAAAATTGATGTTGAAAAAAGTCCATCCGAGGAAGGCGAACACTATGCCAACAGACCATAACCAGACCTCGGTGCTCTTAATCAAGACAAGAATTCCAGGCTTGGCGATGTAATTCCCTCCGGCTTCAGTGTTCTCTTCGTTTGTGTTTGCTTCATGATCCATGCTTTCACCAGCAGTCTCTTTGATACCGCCTTCAGGATCTGTCTTCATTGGGACCATGCTCTGCAGATTCAGTTTCCTCTCCGGGGACTTGTCGGGCGCTGCAGCGTAGTCCTCGGTAGGTGGGTTAGTCAGGAACACGCTGCTGGCGAGGCCTGCACCTAGTATCCCACCACTGAGAATTCGCAGCGCTTTTCGCCATCCGTAGCGAGTAATGCTCGCTGTCATCACGGGACTGAATACCAGCATACCTGCCAGTTAAAACATCGGCATATTAATGACGGACCGTGAATATATTAAAATTTGACACAAGGGAATCTTCAATTTCAGATTCATACACAGCTTATTCACGGCGCCTTTGGGCAACATCAATTTAATACACCAATAGGGATAGGAATAAAGACATTAAACTCGATAAGTTTCAATTTTAGAATTTTAACGGATTGTACTTTTTAACATTAACGTTTAAGAACTGAACTGAACTGAACGAATGTTTAGCTTCCCATCACCTTTACAAATTGACGAAAAGATTTTGTTTTATGTAACCTATTTCTGAGCACTGAATTCGTCAGTGGGTAAAGCCGTAGGTCGCGGGTTTGAATCCAGCCTGGGGTCATGGTACATGTGCCCATAAGCAAGGCACTTTGTCGCTATTAAAGTTAACATTAGTTTATATTTGAGACATTATGTTCCAGAGTTGTGTAGAGGGACTGCAGTGCCAGGTTCAGATTTTGGAAACAAAATGGCGGTTCATTATGTCCACAGAGCAATGGAGCGTGCGGCAGCGGCTACTGCATCTGTGTGCAGTGGTGCATCCACCTGCCAGTTTGTTTCCAACAATGGTGACACTAATGTCGCACTCTCAAAGTTGAGTACACTGGCATAGAGCTTGTTCCTAGCTCTATGGTAACAGGTTAAGGCATTACCACACGTTGATCCAAGAACGGTGAACACGCTTGCTCGGGAGAAGTTCTTCCTGAGGAACCACTCCAGCACCAGTGCTATGGAAGAATGCGAAGTAAGGTTCGTTCCAACTCCACATAAGACGCCAAACGTCAAGTAGGCGTAGCCAATGGCCGGCACGAAAGACGTCGTCAAGAGCCCGGCGCAGAAGAGGACGACCCCGAGGCTGACGACAGCCCGTCTGCTAAGTTTCCGTCCCAGCAGAACGGTGAGCGGGCTACACAGACAGGATAAGGCCGTGGATAAAGAGCCGATCCAACCTGAAGATTTACAAAACGGTGGACGACTTTAGTTAATCAAGCGAGGAGAAGCTCACTGCCAGCGATTCTTTGAAAAATGTTACGGCAAGTAAAGGCTCGTTTAATATTTCCCGTAAAATTCCGTTAATATGCTCTCAACATAATTTTATGTGACTACAATTTACATTTTACGGGAAAGTATTGGCACCCATGGCTGCCAAGCAACTTCCCGTAAATATACGGGATATTTGTCACAATGGAGAATAGAGTAGGCTACAGCCAAAGAAACAATAAAGTATGGCGTATAAACTTCTTGTATTCGTGTACATTTTTATGAGTTTATGTCCATGCCAAGTTTTCAATAAAATGTGTCACACACTTGCTGGCTTTGTTGAAATAAGACCGCGTCTGAATCGCTTGGCTTTGACTTGGACCTGTTTGTTTCACGCAGATCGGAATCGCGATCAGTGATCCTGGGTTGGTTCACTGACACCAGAACCCATGTAACGCGGGCGATTCACAATAGGTGGACAGATTTCGCGCATTGTGATTAGCCAACGCGTTGCAAAGTGTGACGTCACTTCAGTTTCAACCACACCCACTGCACATTCACATAGAGTTACATGCATTGATCGCCGTTTAGGGCCTACATGGAACTGGAAGTTAACGCGCAACTTCAGCAATCGTCCAATGGGAACCTACAAATCGTGGCGCGTCTGCCTTTGTGACGAAGTCACTTACGGACCGGATTGCGAAACGCCCGTATTGATAGCGCAAACCAGCTTTGGGATCACTGATAACGATCCAGATCCGAGTGAACAAACAGGCCTTTAATGTAACACACGACTCTATGGGGTCTGACTGCACCCAAGTGATTCGCATGCGGTGCCTTTTGCATCAAATCCTTCACGGCTTTTTTACACCGAGACTACCGATGTAGTGCCAAATGGGAAACAAAATGGCCGTTCATTATGTATGCAGTACGCGTAGCTATTACCTGTTGATTGTCCATGTGCGCGCAGAGATAATCCACCATTTTGGTTCCAACAACGGAGACACTCATGTCACAACTCTCTCTACGAACAGCTCTGACATTAACATGAGAAGATTCACTGCTTTGGTCTTACCAGTTACTGCCGATCCAGAATGGAACTCTGCCTGCAAGCTTAGATAGAGGATACTGTAGTTGTATTGAATGCCCAGGGTGAGGAATATCATGTTGAATGCTGCTAGTGTGACAACCCAACGCCACCACCAACAGCGGAGATGGCAGCAGGCCATGGCGTAGGAGTCGACCTTTCGCGGCTCCAGATGGAAATTCCCTCATTCGATGTCTTGCTCAGACCTAGGCCTATATAGCACGGTTATGATGTCTTCCCGTCTCAGGAACCGAGCTCACTATGATGGCATTAGCCCAGAACAACCGTGGGCAAGTTCTCGATGTAAAGTGTGTTGTTCTGTACGTGAATGTGGTCCGGAACACCCGAGGGCCTTCCTTGAATTGATCAGTCACAGATCTGCATAAGGAGTATGACAAGTTGAAAATGACGGAAACCCAATAAACCTTCCTTCATCCGAGACTTCCACATGCATATTGCTGATGTAGGCTTCATAAAATAAGACAAATTGAACTGAAAATCAAATTTCGACTCTGAGTTGAGTCACTTCGCGTTGAGTCAGGGTAATTTGGGTTCTTTAAGTCGAGTCCAAGTACCAGTGTAATAGTGATCCGGACTCCGTGACATACGGACTCATACCCTGCGTATTTGTTTTCTGAGGTAACTTACAATGACAACTAAAGGGAACAAAGACGTCCAGATTGCGTGGGGCCAAATATTTCATATGAAATCGGTAGTTTCGAATAGCACGAAGCAACAAAGCAGGCATTCCGAATGAGAACTTAGTACACTCATCCCGACGTTACGGTTAACCAAGTTTCGTTAAATATCTTCACTGCACGAAGTGTGGGAATCTAAATCCTCCTTTAGGCCTACTTTTTTTTTTAATATTCGCTGTAAATTTACTCTCATTTTCATACAAATAAATATATAAATGTCTGTGGTTCAACTGTCTATGGTCCTGGACGTGCACGGCTCATGCTAAATGTGGGCCATCATGTGGCTCGTAAAAGCACATGATTTAAGCTCAGCTAGCTGTCAATCCTAAAATGCTACCTTTCTATCGCCTGCTTTACTCATGGAAGTCTATTCATGTTCAGTTCCTTACGATTACGCTGCCCTGAGTGTGTTTTGCTGAGATTCAGGTCTCTCACTCTCGTAGTGGCCAGTATAAAATGAACCGAAACCCAAAACATATGGAACAGCACCACAGACCACCCATTCCTCAAGGCTTCACGTTGGGATCAACCACACAGGAGTAAAACAAAATTCGATACACGGTGGATGTAGGCCTACCTGTACGCTCGGCACTCTGAAATTTCACACTCAACGTGCGAGTCATTGACCATGGAGCCTTAACTCTGCAGTGTTTCAACCAAACCAACATGATCAGGAAACGCGACCAGAAATGAGCACAAACCTTGAATGATAAACATCACGTAATAATCACGTAATGGGTTGGACCTGCTTGTGGATCATGCTGTTTCTCATCTACGTCTTGTATAAAGAGAGGTGGTACGTCCATCCTGTCTGTCTGTGACTGCAGGCAGTGCAATACATGTTCACCCGTGCCTATGAATTTCCGCGTTGTTGTTCACCAATTGAAACCATCGTGGTGAACATGCCGCAATGCCAGCGCTCTCTTCCCCACACGAACGACTTCACCCATGCCGGCATTCACAATGCACGGACGGCAGCATCTAGGGTTACAAGCGAGTAAATAGGCCCCAAATCGCCTGCACAGACTGCCGTTAGAGCATAGAGCTAGGAATTATGTTAGCGTTTTGTGGCACAAAAAAATAACAGAAGCTTTCATCAGGACTGCCAGCTTGAGGTTCCGAAGGTTTTGGACAAAACGGAGCCCTTCAGTTTGCTCCATTTTGCAATGGAGTGTCGGCCAATTTTTAAAATACATGCTTCACATCCGTTTTGAGGAGTGATCGTCTCTGGAGAGAAATACACGTAAAAACAATCAAAAATAACAAACGGCAAACAATTGAGTATCTTCGAAGGACACACTCAACTCCTCAATTCAATTTGATGATCGGACAGTGAAACGGTGTAACAAAGGTTTAAACAGGCTCACAACTATCACCACGAACTTCGAGTTCGCACACGGATTTATTTGTGCATTACTTAAGTTCTTTAATGATCTTTAGGCTTAGATAGTCCTTTATTAACTGCATCACAGAGTTGACACGCACGAATATTTATGTTTTTTATACTTGAAGACTCTCTTGTTTAATTTCGTTAAATGTGGTGGTGCATTTCTTTGATCGATTACGTAATCGTAGTTATTTCTTGAAGGTCTGTTAATATTTCCTTTCATACTTTTGTATATTAATTCAAATTATGGTTGGGGACCAGGAAATGACACATCTGTTTGAACGTCTTCCCTTTTCCTGTGTTTTCCCAGAATAAAACTCCTCCAAGGCCAATTTACCGTGCCCTCTTCCAAGTAATTGACCCCAACAAGCCAGGGTCACATTTGAATTAATGATAAAAAAAATTGCGAACGAGAGATTTCTAACGGCAGAGGTAATTAAAATAACAATCATGGTTCCCCTCCCTAGGAAATCTTGATAACGTTCGTAGTGCACATGCGGCATGTCGAACACACTTGAGATCTCGCGAGAAGTCAAATAGCAGCGTGCTCTATCTACTGTTGTAGGCCCGCAGTTCTCTCCTGCGAAAGTATTCAGATCACAACTGGACAGGTTGGGTTTCGGTGGAGCCACACCCTCCACGTGACCTACACCTTCTGCGCACCAGAATGGCCACAAACGTCGCTGAAGCGCACACGAACATGGCGACGATGACCACGATGCCCACAACGTAATCACCGGTGGTGTCGTATAATGCACCTGTACATGTGAAATGTTACCCCAAAAGTTACCCAATCTATATGTGCTAAAGCTCATCTTATCCAGTCATGCTTCTCATGAATATAAAATAAAGTGCCTCTGGACCTTTACGTCGGGGGGCTACTATAGATTGTGCTCCCAAATTTACACACAATTGACAAAAAGACCCCTTTTTCACCTGACAGAGGAGCACTCATCAGGATCCCGACCCCTGGGGGAACAAATCCGAGCGTCATGATGGTATCTGCGCCGAAGGTCTCCTGAAACAATTGCGCACAGGCTGTGAGCAATGGTCCATATAAACAAGCTCGAATGAAGCCAGACCCTGTCAAAAAATAAACAGTTTACAACTTACATAGACAACAAGAAGTTTAGGGAATGGCTTTATTTATTAAAGTTATTTTTTTGGATTGGACAGCCGTGACTAAAACCTAAATAATATGGAGCAATTTTACCGAAGGTGACGGCGACAACGGCTGCGTAAGACTTCGCGATGGCCAATAATCCCACAAAAACTGTTCCAAAGCCATACGACACGAGGAGGCAGTACACGTGCGTAAAGGGCAGGTGATCGCCAACCACACCGATGAGAGTCTTCCCGACAATTTCTCCACTGGCAAAAACCATAATGCAGGAAGATATCTGCTGGCTGTTGAAGTCAAGCCCTTCCATGAAACTGGCCTGTAGAAAAAAACAGCTATACAGTTGTATTTTCCCCTTTCTAAAATGAATGCCAACGTATCACTGATGGCCCGAAGGCTGGTGAATGATTGTATTATTGAACAAAAAAGAGACAAATCGGTTTGCATGGTGTTGCTGCAAACCTCCAGGGTTTAAGCAAATAATCGAATTCTTTTCACAAATAACAATTAAGTTACATCATACACGGCTAAAGCTTATTATTTAAGACTTAAGGACATTTGGATCATTCTTATGCTAATTTTTGCTTTTTACTCCTCTGCTTTGCTATTTACTCACAAAATTGATATTGAAAAACATCCATCCGATAAAGGCAAGCACTAAACTGACGGACCACAACCAGACCTCAGTGCTCTTAATCAAGACAAGGATTCCAGGATAGGCGATGGTATTCCCTCCGACCTCAATATAAGTCTCTTCCTTTCTGTTTGCTTCATGACCCTTGCTTCTGCGCTCTCCACCATCAGTCTCATTGGTACCACCTTCTGGATCTGTCTTCATGGGAGCCATGCTTTCCAATTCCTGTTTCCTCTCCGGGGACTCGTCGGGCGCTGCGGCGTAGTCCTCGGTAGGCGGGTTGGTCAGGAACACGCTGCTCGCGAGGCCCGCCGCCAGTATCCCGCCGCTGAGAATTCGCAGCGCGTTGCGCCATCCGTGGTGAGTAATGCTTGCTGTTATCACAGGACTGAATACCAGCATACCTGCCAGTTGGCAAATTAATAGAGTTAAGAAATTTTTTAAAATGTAAGTCTGAAATTTCTATTCGGATTAATAACTGCGTCTGTGGGCTGTGATTAATTCATACAGCTCTTTCGTTAAGATATTTAGCTTAAAATTTGCGAGAAAGTTATTAGAATTAGTTGAATTATTTTCATTGCGGCAGCACACTCAAAGTGTCTACCACACTGAAAAATTTCCTGGGTTAAATTTTAACCCAGGGAGGGTGAAAACTGCAACTACCCAATGGTTTAGGTTGTTTCAACCCAATCTGAGTGATTGAAATTAATTTCTGGTTTGTTTTAACCAAACAATGGCTAATATCCACTCATTTTGTGGGTGAAAAATGAAACAGAAAGTAATTCTCATCCCAAAATTGGGTTAACACAGCCCATATTTGGGTAGTTGCAGTTTTCACCTTTCCTTAGGTTTAAATTTGATCCAGGCAATTTTTCAGTGCATAGGTTGTGTACAATAAATAATTATGGTCGAGGCATCACCGCACGTTGCTCCCAGTGAAATGAACGCGCTTGCTCGGGAGAAGTTCTTCCTTGCGAACCACTCTAGCACCAGTGCCGAGGAAGAATGCATCATGAGGTTTGTACCGACTCCCGCCAATACGCTGAACGTCAAGTAGGCGTAGCCAATGGCCGGCACGAAGGACGTCGTCAAGAGCCCGGCGCAGAAGAGGACGAGCCCGAGGCTGACGACAGCCCGTCTGCTCAGTTTGCGTTCCAGCAGAACGGTGAGCGGGCTACACAGACAGGATAAGGCCGTGGCTAAGGAGCCGATCCAACCTTTAAGGATTTACACGGAGGTGAACGACTTTAGTAAAAGTGTAGCTGTGATGAATTTGATACTGTATTTCTGCAACTACCTTCTTCAGTGTATGAAAACTCTTTACATTCCTATTTGGTTAAATATATTGAAAAGGTGCACTTTTTTAACATGTAATATTATCTATGCTATCCTAGACAACTGAGGGCGCTGTTACCGTGATGTCATCCAGGGAAGTCATAGTTCAATGCGTTCATTTTCTGTTGAAATTGTGAACCCAGAATTTACTCACTGAAAACATTTCTGGAAAAGGGTTTTTAATGCTTGCTTATTGCTACGCACATAGATGACGATGATCAGCGAAGTCCAGCAAGATTTACAAAAACGCAGGACTGTTTTTGCATACAAAACCAGTGTAACTTTGGTTTGTTTGGAATACCCACGGTTGCTAAATAATTCCCGTAGATTTACGGGATATTTGTCACAGTGAGGAGTAGATAAAAGAATCAAGGAAACAAAGAAACGAAAGAATGAATGTAACATATTTTCCTGTACATTTCTGACATTCCGACATCTATATGCTAAGTTTTCATTGAACAGTAATTGTTGACTACTGTGATGTGGGATTTGACGTTTTTAAACACCCGACTGACCCAAAGCTCCCCGAGGCGAAGCCAACCGCGCTATGCGCACCCGAGGGTGTTCAAAAAGTCTTATCTCACATCACAGTAGTCAACAATAATGTTGTTCCCTATCTCTATCTTGACGATGTATTTCCCTTTTTTGAGGGAAATTAAGGGCGACAAAGTAATATTTGAACATTAGCAACCGATTAGCGGTCGCAGCATTATCAGGTAAACTGTGGGGACACAAGTGTAGTATGCGGGCGACGCGCATGCGCAATATCATACAACGCTGGCTGACGTGATTTTTTTTACGCTTAATGTGACATGCGGTTATGTCGCCCTGTCACGTGATCACTCTGGGCCGATGTAAAACAATATTCAAGAAAGAGGTGTGCCAATGAAATCGGTCACACATTGGCTCTGTTGCATCCCCCTTTAGAGTTTTTTTTAAACCAGAGTTGTTAAAATTAATATTATAAGATTCACGATGGTTTTACCAGTTATTGCCGATCCAGAATGAAACTCTGCCTGTAAGCTCACGTAGAGGATACTGTAGTTGTATTGAGGGCCCAGGGAGAGGAATATCATGTTGAATGCTGCCAGCGTGACAACCCAACGCCACCACCAACAGCGAAGATGGCAGCAGGCCATGACGAGAAGCCGACCTTTCGCGACTTCAGCCGGATCAAGTCCTTGCTCAGCCTTATCTACAGCGCAAACACCATGGCACGCACGTTCGTACTATGCAACTTGCGGAGCCGGCAGGCAACTCGAAGATGAATGCTGCTTTCAGGAACCGAGCACACTATGACTTATCTGGCCCAGAACCGCCAGGCAAGTGTCCCATGCAGTTGTTTTTTTAAAGCTGTATATGTAAATGTGGTCTGGACACCTGTAGGCTTGTAGTATGAAGCAATCAGTCACCGATGTTAGCCATCTGGACAGGGAAAACATTATGCTCTTTACAAAAAGGTGAACGTAGCGAAGCTCCACATACATGTACCCCTCTGTTATATATCGTTGTATCTTTCTTTCAAGTGATGCTGACGTTGGCTTCATTATGTGAGAGAGTAAATTTCAAAAAATCAAACATTTGACTGAGTTTGAGCAATTATTGAGAGTACTGTTGAGAACAAATTTTTTTAAAACTTTTTTTCTCTCTTTGTGATTTTTCTTCGTTACATAAAAACTCGTAAAGTTGAGAAGAAACTTGTCCCTGCAGTCATAATTTTGAATTGACAGTAGAACGAGGCCTTAATCTTCCTGGGCGTCACCAGGTGGCGCTTTCTCTCTCAGGTTTTGACGCTGTCAACGACAGGCGCGTATTTAGTGTAATGCAATCTTATGACGTTTCCATACCGTTAACAACACGCACATGTCCTGCGCTACGTTATACACAACACTCATTGCGCCGCGTATCACTTCTTAGCCGGTTCGGAAGTGACATCACTTCAGTTCAAACCACGCCCACTGCACATGCAGAGCAGATAGGGTTACATGCATTGATCGCCGTTTACATGGAACCGGAGTTAAATCGTGGTGCGTCCACCCTTGTGACGTTACGAACCGGATTGCTTTGCCAATGCAAACAACTCTTGTCGCATGCGCACTGTGAAAAACCGTAATCGTGAAGTGAATCAACGCTTATCGCGCTGCGAAACACTTACCACGTTGTGTAAGATGGCCTCAATAGTACACCATATTTTTAAGTAATAACAGACACTGGAGTCTGGAAGTGCATTGGAGAAAAAAAGCGTGACTGACTGAACTTTGTGAGACCGAATTTCAGCAGAGGAAGGGAGAGGAGGGGGGGGATTTGTTTCTAAGATCAATCCAGTTTCAGGAAACAGTGCTTACAATTTCAGTGCACGGCTGAAGTGTAGGAATTGAAATCTTCTTGATACCTATGCTTTCCTTTTTTTTCGCTCAAAATAAACTGTAAATTCAAAGCTGCTCAATGGTTCCACCATTTTATACTTACCGTACGTGCACTACATGAGCTGGACACAGACTGTTGTTCAACATACGCGGGATGATGACTAGCCTTTGGAACTAGACGAGTATGATTACCCCAGGCTATGCTAGCAGATCAACAGAGAAATATCACTCTTTTATCGATTGCACTCCCCATGAAAGTTCAATTCTTCCATGTTCACTTGCTGATCACACTGCCTGATTATTGTCGTTCACAATGCATGCATGGGCTCCAGGTTGGTTGAAGTTTGGGTCTCATACAATCACAACAAACAAACAGTAAATTTGAAAGAAAAAAAAAAGAAGAGAAAACCAACCAACAAACAAACACATGCAACCAACACGAAACCATCAAAATAAACAAACAAGCAAACAAACAAACCAACAAAGAAACAAAAGCGGCTATCTGACTAATACATGTCGATCCGCCGGTCCGACAGGGAGAGTGGAGCCTTCCCTTCCTTCACAATGGAACACAATCCATACATGTACAAGTACATTTGAACACGTTCACTCATTACATGATGAAGGCTATTTGCATGTGCAATGCACGGACTTTATTTGGCCATGGAACAGCACTGTATTTGAACTGAGCATTGCGAAGAAATTCAACCAGAAATGAAACAAAATGAATAGCACCTGGTTGTCGATCAGCTGGTTTTCATCAGCATCCGCCAAAAAGAGACTGCGAATCATGTTCTTAGTGTGATGACAATACAATGGTGCTAGCATTATTTTGTAGACACAAGTCATATGCATTGCGTGTAAAGTACATGTACATGCATACGCTGCATGCTCGCCAGTGGGAAACCCTAACGGTAAGCTTGGTATTAACTGTTTTGCCGTACTCTTGCATAATGCGCATGAACGGTATTAGAAATTTTATGACGACAGCATTTGCATTATTTTGTATGTGATTACTGGTAAGCATTTGTACACCTTTTCAAAAGTCATGTTTATGATTTTCCAAAGTAAGTTTGTACAAGATATATACGACATATCTCGCAAAAACAACGATTATTTCTCCAAAAAAGATCTTGTACAAACGAACTGGAAAAATATGTCTCATAAACGAACTAGGAAAAAGTACATTTAATTAAAATACATATAGTTAATGCATACAGTCCATAAAAATGGATTATGGAAAAAATGTACTTATTAAAGTTGAACAGGCGAATTTAAGTCTCGGCCTTAGTTTCCTCCGATTCCTCCATGTGTGTGTTTCAAAAAACGAAATCTACCAGGAAATTGCACCTTCGTATTCCAATTAACATTATTTCCAAATGGGTTACTATTTTTAATCAATTTTTGAGACCTTTTGCAGATATGAATTCGCATATTGACGAGCACAACTGTTATCCATTCAGTCTGAGAAACTGAACCCATGTTGCATTGATTTTTGCACAACAACTGGCTAGATTTATATGACGGGTTTAACTGAGCATACAGTGTTTCTTATTAATATATACGTTGGGTAAAGGCAAAACCCGTTATATAAATTAACATCTCCCCAACGCAAAAAAAATACATCTTGAAAAATTGCTAGATGTTGTATACGTCACTACTCAAGCTTTCCATTTCATTTAGCAATTTATTGTTGCATAAGTATATGGCAAACAGCCAGTGAACAACCTTTTACCAATACTGTTAAAACAATACTTTTTGGTGTTATCAGAGGACCACACCAAAAGTGTTACTTTAACACCGCTGGTGTTACTTTGTACACCTACAAGTGTTACAATACATAAAAGAAACGCCAACTGTTTTGAAAGAACATCAAAAAATTTAACACCGATAAAAAGTTAAAGTGGAAAGCTTGTGGTAGCACCATGCAAAGATACGATCTCTTTGTGAGTCTGTATGGTTCTGAAAAGAACCGTGAGGAACTCAACGTTTCGGACAGTGCGCGGAATTTGTCGACCCAATGCACGTTTGGAAAGGGTCGACAAACGTCGCGCGTCATGATTGGCCAACGCGCTGCAAACTCTTGGTGGCGTACTTCTATGAATAGCCTGTATTACTCAATTAGAAAATAACTCAAGGAAATTTTACATTTACAAGACAGACAGTCAATGATTTGTAGAAGGGAGGCTGGGGCGTTGGTAGGGTTACGGGGAGCGGGGACAGGTGGGCTTCATGCTCAAATGAGAGGGTTCTTTAATGCCACCGTTACATCAACAACGTAACACTGCATGACATATGGACGAGTTGATGCTTTGAAAAGTTTCTCCTTGTACGGCGGCAGTTAAACGTGTTTGTTTCACTTATAACGCTCACACTTATCATGAATCATGATTCCTTTGATTCCAGTTTTTTCCTATGCCCCTTGCACAGTACCTACCGGGTGCTTACTGGATAAAATCCGGTCCGGGGATGATCGTGGCTCTTAAAATTTTAGGGGTCAAGTAGGAGCGACGACGAAAAGCATAGTAGGAATCCTACCACGTTCGGCCTTCTTTTTGTCAGAACCGTATCGAATATCGGGTCATTGGGGTAGATATGTTTGTACCTTATTTTAACGGCCGTGGTAAGTTAACTTAAAGGATTTTTTTTATCGAGTACTGTTAATCGAGTACGAGTACTTTGATGCTCGAGTACAAGTTTTGGATGTCGAGTTCCGAGTATTTCGTAGCCCGAGTACAAGAACTGTAGTTCGAGTACGAGTACTTGGACGTCCGTGTACTAGTACGAGTACGAGTACTCTGAAAACGGTACTCGAGTAGTACTCGAGTACGAGTACCGAGCACAAGTACTACAACACTAAGTAGGATCCCCAACTCGTCTTCGAAAGTCTATATTCTTAAGGAGGGTATTGGAGATTTCATCACCAGGATCCAAAAAGCAGATCTACAACTGCGCTATTATCAAGTAGACCGTATGAATAGGGGATTTAGGGGTCCTTGATCTGAAATTTAATATCCTGAGTGGCTTCGCTGGAAAAAAAAGATATTATGGCACGGACTTTACCCAAAGCAATCCCCACAACGGTTGCAAAAGTCTTCGCGATGGTCAGCAAAGCCAGCTGAACCGTCGCAAAGACACAGGACACGAGGAGCCAGTACACATGCATGAAGGGCATGTGATCACCGACCACACCGATGAGAATCTTCCCTCCAGATTCCCCACAAGCAAACAACATAATGGACATAGATATCTCGTGACTGTTGAGGTCAAGCCCTTTCGTGAAACTGGCCTGTAATGGAAAAAAACAATTGAATATGCTTTTTTATCCACTTCCACAGGATGCTTGAATAAATAATACTTCTTCCGAACGGAAGTCACACCATGAGGTCACATTCACCGACGTCCCGCTATGTGATAATGGGCCCCGAGCAAGCCCAATAGAGGGCACAATTTTCCTATCAACGGAGGCTCCTTTGGTGGGAACGCCACTTCGCTGGTTCACGAACGACTCTGAGATGCATGCGTTGCGTATGCATCACTACGAACACTCCCCACCAACGTGGCTCGGGGTTGCTTCTGCGTAAGGCGGATCGATACATTTGGAAAGCCTGCCATTTTAAAGTTCTGAACTTGTGTTTTATACGTGTTTGTTTAATGCTAACGGTTTATTAATTTGACAATACCGTGCTCAGCATGATCACTCGACAAAATTGAGCGACTTACACTACATGCACGCTCTCTGAGTCGTGTACTGAGAAAGATCATACGACAGCTGCAGCGTCTTATTCGGCGAGGAAATAAGGTGGCGGACGAGGCCGCAAACGCTGAACACTTCTGAAGTGTGAGACGTATTGGACTCACAACAATAGGCACCATTACGAAAGCATGATTTGGATTCGTCGCTGCTGGCGTGAAAATCTGAGATTCCTCTCTGGACACTTACATTGCATTCACGGTATATCAACTTACAAAGCTGACATTGAAGAACGTCCATCCCAGGTAAGAGAGCACCAAAGCAGTGGACCACAACCAAACCTCAACGCTCTTGACGAGAATTCCAGGATTGCCGACAGTATTGCCTTCAGCCTCCTCATTGTCCTCTTTTTTCTCGTTTGCCTCATTATCCTTGCTTCCGCACTCTCCTCTTTTCTTCCCTTTGGTGCCACCTTCAGGATCTGTCTTCACTGGGACCATACTCTCCAATTCCTGTTTCTTCTCCAGGGATTCGTCAGGGGCTGCGGCGTAGTCCTCGGTAGGCGGGTTGGTCAGGAACGCGCTGCTGGCGAGGCCTGCACCCAGTATCCCGCCGCTGAGTCCATCCACTGATGTCTAACAGATCAGTTGTCCATTCCCTGTGGGTTCTCCAGACAACACTACTTTGTACGTTATAGTCACGTTGGCGCTGGCAACGTTTGCATCAACTGCGCAAAAGGAAAATGTTAATGATCTTGAACAGGGAAATACTTCCTACAAAAGGCTTTGAGCTGTTGAACTGAAAATGAACACTATTTTTTTAAAATCGTGGATTGGTTGCTAAGTTTCTGTGAAACGGCTATCGTAGATAAAATCTATAGTTTAGTCTTTACCTGTTACCACGGGTTCAGAATGAAACTCTGCCTGTAAGCTCAGTCACGTAGAGGATACTGTAGTTGTATTAAGACCCCAGGGAGAGGAATGTCATGATGAATGCTGAGAGTATGACAACCCAACGCCACCACCAACAGCGAAGCTGGAAGCAGACCACGGCGAAAAGATGAACTGGCGTCAGCTTCACATCAAACCTCCTTTCGTTACAAGTCCTTCAGCCTCACAGAATCTGCTTTTTAATGTCACACTCGTAATTTTGCCTACAACAAGCGAATATGCTGAAAGTATCCGAAGTTTAATTTTGTGATACTTAAACATCAAACAGCTTCGGGTTTTGTTATTATTTTAAGATGTTACATGTATTTTTAAGAGAGAGTGCATCCTTAATTTTTCTCCTTTTAATCCCCCCCATTTCGAACAGGTCGAGGATTTAAAAAAATATCGATGGCAATCATGGGTTCTGAGGGCAGCTGCACTGACACCCCTCTCAGCCCACACGGACGATGAAACAGATACCTATCGGCCGAACAATTTACGGAGGTAAGCACATGCCATGTTGGGTCCCGAATAAAATATAAAAACTGTATTAGCTTTATAAACACTTTCTGGTTTGTGTCTCTTCACTTTGAGAAATGGCGGCCATGCGACGCGTCTTGTCCGGTATGGCCGAAAAACTTATGTATTTGCTTTCCATAACTTGTTCGCTTCATCCATGTCTGAAGCACGATATTTGGAAAAATCTATCAAGTTGAAAAGCGAATCTAGGGAGAAAAAGTCCACACCCCAAAAATGAGGAGTATTCAAAGTGCAAGTCATACCAACTTGCGTTCATAAATTACAGAATAGATGTGGATTTTATTTTGGTCATGTTGTACTGAAATTATGTAATTTTACAAACTTTTTGCAATTACACTTTTTATCATTATTTGTGTAGGACTTCCGTCTTGGCTACACACGCTGCAAGATCCTAGCAAAAATTCAGAAGTAACATCACCCCCTCAAAAGTACACGGGTGTTGCACTGGAAGTAATGAAACGTTGAGTGCGCATTGGCATAAGTACAAACAGTGGAAGAGTCTCACGGCTCGTATATTTTAAGCGGGGTCAAAATGCAGTTTATCATGCACCTGCGACGTGCAGGATTACACGTAATATGCTGATTAACAAAGTACGGAATAAACCTACGTACGTATGTGTACTGATCAACGGAGACACTTTTTTAAATTGCAACCGACTCTCGGTGGCTCAGATATGAATAAATTGACATGCAGGATTTTGAAACCTTTGGTCTAGTGGAGTGGACAGCCATCGTATCTACACTAACTGACTTCACAGACTAACCAGTTATTCTGCTTACATAAACCAGAATTACACTATCATGGACAGAGCATTGGACAAATTTGAGAGAATCGATGCCAGAAGGTTGGCATAATAGCGGCCATGGTTTGTCTACAGACCCGTTGTGGATGGTCACGGTGGCGTTGGGTCGTCACTTTCGCCACTTTCGGCCAGTTTTTCTTGTCTCTCGGACCCTTGTTCAACTTCAGTACTCTGTTCCTCAGCCTGCAAGAGGAGTTCCATTCCAGCGCTGCATTAACGGGTTAGTTTCTGCATGGGTTTCTGCACGGACGATATTTGCCTATAGATCGTGTGTTTGTTGAACGTGTGAAAGGCTGCATTGTTTGGACAAAATATTTTAGAGGTAGCAAAATACCCCGGAACTAGTGTGGGGCCCGTCTTCGACGCCTCCGCCGCGCTCATCCCCACAAACTTGTGACTCAGGGCAGCGGACGACGGACCCCACATTTCTGGGGTATGTTTCTACCTCTATGGAAACTAAAAAAGAATATCTTTTACGGACGCCGCTCCTGTGAACAAATCCTAGGGGACTTCTTATGGGCTGAAAGTGTTTTATATAATATATTTGCACTTCTCAATATTCTCGAAGCTAAATTTGACTTTTAGAACATTTTTATTGCTCCTAGGTGGCTAAGTAAACTAGTGGATCGAGAGAAGAATTAATGGATTTCTTTCCGAAATCAATTGGTGCCCTCAACATTTTCAACCCATAGCAATATTTATGGTGTCAGCGACCTCACCCCCTTTTTAAATGTCCATGGCTGGGCAAGTCAACCCCTCATTCACCATCCCTCAATGTCAGCCATAAATTTTCGCCACTGTGTCTGAGAAAAGGTTTTGGCGATCTTTAATTTGCACCACCAGTGAGATGCATGAAACCTTTTTGACAGCCAATCTGAAGGTAATTTTTTTTATAGAAAATGTGATCAAGATGAATTGAAAGACATTAATGGGAAAACTCATGTCGTAAGCTCTGTGCAAGTAAGGACATGAACTCGGAGTTTGGATTCAGTCCACAGAATGTAGGACTTGCGATGTTGAGAGAAATGATGTTTCATTTTTTTCTGCAGTGTCGTAAGGGGGTTTGCCTTCTCTGATTAAAGACCCTTGCTGTACTTAAACTTAAAACTTGCTGTAAAAATATTGCATGCAGTTTCATAATTGGCTTTCAGGTTGGCTAGGATCTCTCTCGGGTTCACTGTCCTGTCTCGCCAGCCCTCTCAGCGCACTCCTGTCGCTGAAGGTGCGCCACCGTACTGTCGCCATCTTCGGAGTGGTCGTCTTCTGCGCAGGACTGCTGACGACGTCATTCGTTCCCGTGCCAATGCTGGGATACGCGTTTTTCACGTTCTCGGTCTTGACAGGTGTTGGCGGCAATCTGATGACGAACGCGTCCATCGCACTACTTCTGAACTGGTTTGCGAAAGGGAACTTTTCTCGGGCGAGCGCTCTGGCTCAAACGGGCTCCTCGACCGGTAAAGTGCCGTCCTGTCGTCTCCCAACATTTCTGTCGAAAGCTACGTCCGAGAATTATTCTTGCTGCGGTGATGTAATATTTTTATTGTTTATTTTTTGCGTTTGCAATGCATTTCCACATTGCAAAGTATATTTGCTGAGTTATACGGATCAATAAACGAATGATTTGAAAAATAATCTACTAGTAATAATAAGTAAAACGTAACTGAGAAGAAAGGGGGAAACACGGAAGCATATTCAGAAGGCAAAGTCTTACACAGAAGTCATTAAGACAGAAATTAGACAAACAAAATTAACAAAGAAGCCATTTCTTATCACACGTTCCCTGAATCTATATCTGATTCAGCGGAATCCATGCCTAGTTTCCATTTTTTAAAATGTTGCCCAACACCTGCAGATGTGATAAATAACAAATCTTAAATTATTAATCAGTGTAAATATAAAATAAATTAATCCGTATAAATGTTCCATTTTATTGCTTATTTCAATCCCAGGTTCCCAAAATAAAAAAGTTAACCTTGCTTTCAATTCGATATGGCCAGGCATGCTCGTCTTTAGCCCTATGCTGACGGCTTTCATTACTCGGTATGGATGGCGGAATGCGCTAAGAATTCTTAGCGGCGGCATACTCGCTGTTGGGATCGCCGACTGCTTGCTGTTGACCGACCCACCGTCGACGGAGGGCTACGCTGCAGGGCCCCGTGAGACTCCAACTGAGAAACACGAATTGGAGAGCATGGTCCGGGTGGGGCACATTGGCGATGATGGTCACGCCGAAGAGGGAGGCGGCGTAGCCAGGGCGTCTACTGACGAAAGCATCGAAACGGAAGCCACCATTTCCTGTTCAGAGTTGCCTCAGATGGAACCTCAAGTTGACACGGATTGTCGTGGTCGTCTTCATAGCTTTGTGACGGACGTTGAGGTTTGGGCGTGGTGCGTGTCCGTCACGCTGTCCCACTTTGGCTGGGCTTTCTTCGATCTCAATTTTGTATGTATCATGCATTTGAGAAAGTAATGCATTAGCGTTTCTTTTTTGTTTTTGTTTTGTTTGTTTTGTTAAGGCCTGAACATTCACGACACAGAGTTGCTAGTGCACAGGGGAAAATAATTTCATTTTCCATTTAGTTTGGCTTGTTACTTTTGGATATTAAAAAGGGAATGGAATTACTGATTTTGCCTGGATGTCCAACTTAAACGGTTCAACTGCCACGTATACATTAATTTCATAGCAACAGCTTGGTGATTGTCCAAACATGCGTACTATCCACCGTTGGTCATTTTATGACCTTCTGCCATCTTCCTTCAATTATTTGCTTATTTTATCATTTGCGGTGAAATTTATTTCCCCGCTTACCAACCCAACCCAGCTCAACTCGACCCTGACGCCTGTTGGGACCCCTGCCCAACCCCAAATTTGGCTCGGATAACAAAAGGAAAATGGAACAAAACGAAGTCGAAAACTAACATTTGATATTTCTTTCACAGGCCAGTTATCTGAAAGATATTGGTCTGGGCAGTAACCAGATTTCCACGGTCGTCATGTGTTTTGCTCTGGGGGAACTTGGCAGCAAACTCGTGATAGCCCTTATAGGAAATCGTCTGCCGTTCATGGAAGTGTACATGTTGCTGGTATCCAGTCTTCTGGGAACCGTAGTGCTGGGATTACTCACCATTGCCAAGACGTTTGGATTGATGATTTTCTTTGCCATGGGTGAGTCATCACTGATTAAAACACTGGCTGCGTGAGTTCCGGTTACAGCAACAAGAAATGATTTCGTCAGTAGAAAACAACAAGTCCCGTTGATCATATTGGCAAAATGATGACACGATATTCGCAAAACTATACAGCCCGAATAAGCACAAGGATATTACATAGTGAACAGTCGACTTTCTGGATGCATAGCTTTCATCGGAAGACACTTTCGCGCCTATTTCCACCGTAGGCACCAGTGTGTCTTGGTTGCATCCCTGAACTTTTCTAGTACGAGAGCACCATCACGGGCATGGACACAATACGACTTTGGAGAAAAAAAAAACTCCCTCAGGAAATATCTTTTGGACTGACTTGTCGTTGTATTCCTGTCCTTTCGTCTCCTAGTTTCCGGTGTCCTACGGTCTGGCGTCAATGCCAAAGTTTTCGTCGCTGCGGCCCAACTTTTCCACGACCAGTACGGGACAGAATGGGCCATTACCATGTCGTTGGTTCCAAACGGAATTGGCTATCTGATCAGTTCGCCTTTAGCAGGTAAGATCCAATGGCTTATCCATTACGTCCGGGGCGGGGGAATTGGGAATTTCGAAACGTACTTCTTTCAATCTATAGGTATTAACAGGATGACTTCTTTTTGTCTTATTTCATGCAGGGATTCTGTATGACGTCACAGGTGACTATGTCTTCAGTCTTCTCGTCATGACGACCGCCTTCGTGGGCGCTTCGTCGGGCTATTTATTTATCGCAATAAGGAGGAGAATCCGGTCACGTGGTTCGTGTTTTCGGTCCCAACGAACCCTACACCCCACGGGGGCGTAGTTCAAACTGCGGCGTCTTCCAGCTCTACTCTTGAGCTCTTCATACAAAGAGTTTAGATTAAATATTGTTTCTATATTTGGGGAAAATAGTTTTTACGAGATGTGTTTTTCCAATTTAAAAAAATATATTATTTGATTATTATTATTTATTTCTCTTTTAGCAGATAAAAAATAAAACCTGAAAATATATATGTCTTGAAAATTAACCTGAAAAAAATATATCTCATGACAACAAACTTCGACAAAATTATTTCGAGTATTGTTTCGAATCATTTCGGGCGATTCACTATGGTGAGCGAAATCTTTTGACCCTTTCCAAACGCAAATTGGGTCGACAGATTATTATTGGCCAGTGCGTTGCAAACTCTTGGAGGCGCACTACTGTGAAACATCCATATTACTCTCGTGCTTTGAAAAATTAGGCTGCATCCGAATCTGTTGTCTGGAGCTAGGTCTAGGTCTTCCCTCCATTGGAAATGTGCAGATATGCGTAGACATTAGACCTAGCCGTAGCTCTGGAAGCCCGTTTCGGACAATTACAATTACAATTGTAATTTAACAATGCGCTAAATACCTAGAAAAATCAGAGTTGGTTTACAGTTATTATGAAAACACAACAATACTAATGGCATTTAATTTCTATTTATAGTTTATATAAAACAACACCTTAATGACTTGGAAACAAAAGAATAATAAACAATAATAACTTGCCTCATTTTGTACAAAGCAAATATACCTCAAATGGTATAATTATACTCATCGATCGGATTTCCCAACCATTGCCAATACACGAAAGAAAATAATTATTGAACAAATTGGCAAGTATTTCTGAGTCAAAGGGTGGCTGTAAATACTTTCAGTACGCAATCAGTTGAAAACATGGCAGGTCAACACGAGTAATAGGCGAGTAATACGGAAAAACTCTTCAACAAACTCTGGACTCAAACGGAGCCGGCAACTCGCTAACAACGATCCCTAATAAGTCATCGTGACTCCACATTCAGTACAGTGGCATAACTACCATAGAGGGGAGGTGCGCGGTCCCAGTGGAAGTCTCTGTCCCTTGGTACCGCCCGTCCTTCCTAAACTGAAATTTTGAAACATATATATGTACAAACACCAGCTAATTTGGCACCCCGAGTGTGCTTTTTTTTTTGTCTTTTTTTTTTTAAAATTACAACCCTCTGAGGGTACATCATGCACTTTTCAATGGAAAAAATGATGTTATTGCCAGTCTTGAGAGGAGACTAGTCTTCACGCCTCCCTCGTTGAAATGTACGACTTAATTCCTTTGGGGGAAAAATCCATAGCCACGCTTATAGCCTTTATTTTATGGGCGGCCAAACGAGCAAAATTAACGATGTAAAACATTAAACGAATGACTGAAAAACAAAGATTTGGGAAATAGGCCTAAATCCCTTTTGATTCCAACGCTTCGCAAAAGAAGGGTAGTCGCTCTCAATTTTATTCCCGTGTGGCTCATTAACTGGCACAGTCAGTCGTTTCTTTCTTTGATATCGATGTTTATATAGAGATTCTGCAGTCGGTAGGCCTATTTGTTTTTGTCAGTACTGCATGCACTTTTCGACGATTTTTATTTCCCCCCAAACTAGAATTGTGTTTGGTTTCTTTATTAAATTTAAGTTTTGTATTTGTTTTTCAAAAGCAACAAAATAATAGGCCTACAACGCTATTTTTTTCCGTGGTACTTTTTTAAAATTAATTTTAAAATCAGAATTTGTTTTTCAGTCTTTCATTTAATTTTTAACGTTATTAATTTTGGTCCTTTTGGCCGCCCATATTACTCAAGCCGAGGTTCCCAAGCGTGTTGTGCGCACGAAATAATATATGATCGCATCGTGGGTGCTCCTTAGAAAGTTTCCACCTACCGTTACAAGCCTTGAGCCATTGTCCCACAAATTTCTGACTTGAGTCAGACTATCTCAGATGTGATATACACGTTGTGTAGATTTTGTAAAGTGTCGGATAATTCCAACGCCCACTTTTGGCTGTGAATAATATACACACAAAAATAGTTGACGGCTTGTATCAGCCGATATTTTCCAAGGGGCGGGATTCCTCAAAGACTATAACATATTGGATGCCTGGACATAGAACCAAATTTTAGAGGTCTGGAGTTCGGGGGCATTCAGTTTGGAAAACTTTTATTTGAATGTAAGAGGGCGCCGTCGTTGTCACAGGGTCATTTTTATTCTGGGGGGAGGACGGGCTAGTCTGGGAAGAGTTTTCGACATTACCCGAATGTACACTGCCGCGGCGCCTCGTTCCTCAAATGTGCAATGGCGGATTTGGGGGAGGGAGGACCAGGGGGGGGGGGCAAGCACAACCCGGCAAAGGAGGACAAGGGTCTATTTTCTTTCCTTCCCGTTCATAAGTGTGTTAAAAGCATCAAACTCTAGCTGCTCCTGCAGTCAGCTTTGGGCATGGGGGACACAGTAAGCTACCCAAGAGGTACATCATCAGAACTACAGATAATTTTGATGTTTGTGGTTTTGCCGTGGGGAGCCCGGGAGGAGCTGCTCGCCGGGGGTGGGGGTGGGGGTAGGCTCAAGCCCCCTTCCCTTGGTGACTGGCCTGAATATAGCTTCAACCCACAGAAAGGCCACAAAAGGTTACGTGAATATAAAATGTTCTTTTTGTGTTGCCAGATAACATTAACTTTGCCGTCCAAGTCAGATAAAAATGCCTTCCTCTGTTATCACTTAATTCAGTTGTCGAGAGTATGCTGTACCAAGTCTCGTGTTTTATTGAGCTAAACACATTATGTGTACCACTAAATCTTGTACTTCTGAGAATGTTATCGTAGAAAGCTGCATTCATCGAATTCTTCTCGTTAGAGAAAAATTTATCCTGTAAAACTTGTGCTTCTTCCATTACTGAACAACTTCTCAACTTTGTTCACGCGGCAGCATGAATAGCGCCACCTGTTGTGTTGACGCCATAGCGGAGCGGTTGGGGTTAAAAACTGATGTAAAATTTCACTTCATTTACACGATTTTGAAAAAAATTGGATTTACCATGATGAACTTCCTGTGAAAGCTCGTCAATCTTAGGAGTATTTAAGGCAGGCAAAGTAACGTTAGTGTAGCAAGTTTGCGGCATCATGCAGGAAATGGATCTAAAAACCGAATAAGGTGAAAACAGACTTTAGGGCGTGTGTGGAACCGTCCGATCCCCGGCAGTATCGATTTCCAGGAAAGTAAGGCGGTCACCGGGGCAGCTGCGTGCTATTAAAAGTTGCAAAGCAGTATAGTGTATCATCCGTCGTTCGAAGTTAGTTGAACTCGGTGAGTGGCTCAAGGTTTTTGTTTTATTATCAAAACAAGCAGTTTTGCGTATTTGTACCTTATTTATGACGCGTATTTGCCAGCCTTTACCCAAAGCAAAACCTAGAACCAAATTTCGGTGTATGGGGCAAACTATAGTGGGAAGAAAAACTTGGAATTGTGACCCGCTCTGAAAAAAAAAACCTAAGTTGCAATTGCGCAATGCCAAAACACGTCATGGCCTGTTCTATTTGGAGAGGGCAAAATTTCCAAGTTCAAAAACGTGAGTTTGTGTTTTTTTTTATTTAAAAGCTTCTATAATATTAAAATTTTCAGAATTTGCGATTACAAACATGGATACTGATGAATAAAGATGAAATATTGATCATTCAATAGGAAATCCTACGTAGAATTGTGTTTCCAAGAGCTACACTTCATGAGCTTTTTCTCGAAAAGTGTCATTTACTGAATCTGAAAATGTGGATATACAAATGTCTGTACATCTCCGGAACGAAGCATGATGCTGCAGGGAGGGGTCGTTCATATTGAATTTTAGCTTTTGGGGTACAGAATCATCCAGCCACACTAAACTCGTAACCTGAATCCGGCGACTTATATTTTTCTAGAGCCGGTCAATTTTTTTTTTCACTTAATCAACCTTTATGGCCTTTGGGCTATATTTGGGGGTTTTACTCGCTTTGGGAACTTCAGGGAAATGAAGCAGACTCTCTTTACTTTCTTTCAAAAAGCGAGGACCCCGCCCTCCGTCCAAACGCCGGACGAGTGGCGCTAGAGTAGCTCAGAGCAGGCGGAAGGCCTCGAGTAGTATAGTACAGTGCGTCAAACCGTGGTGTACTACCGGCCCAGCGTGGCAACGCGACCGTGCATGTACATGGCATTGGCAGGATGTTTTTCCTTCTTCCATGCCAGAAGTGGCCACAAGGCCAAAGGTGATTACAGTGTTTGTACACTGTACTGTAGCTAGCTCCTCAAGCCTCGTAGGCTGTCAATGTACTACAATATGATAACCAGGAAATTCGCTCGCACGTGCGTTTATTGTTTCCGCGTTGTCCATGGAAGCAGGCCTACAGGTTGATGTGATCTTAAATGGTACGTTCATTTCGTGGCAGTGCTTTTAGTATAAGCCTGGAGGTAGGCCAAGGACAAGTGCGACCCGGCCCCTCTACGTGTTTGTTTCGTTCAGTTTTTCAACTTTTTAGTATAGTAGCACTTCACATGGGTTTAATTTCAGCTTTTAAGCATGTGTCTTTATGACCTGTTTATTAAAAATATTAGGCCAATGCCTACTTGTCCGTTTGCCAAGTTTGCGGTCTGTCATGTCTGTCCACCAGTTCCTTCCTCAATTGTATGGCATGATTTGCCAATAACGATTGCCCCCAGCCTGCCACTGTTTCTGGTTGTGGAAAGTGTGTTTTATGAGATTTTGAGGAATCCTTGGTAAGTTGTGTTTTTTTTACCAGAAATGCTTATTTAATAATTTCATATATGATCCACTGGATCATGGAGGTATATGCCCAACATTAATAATATAATCAACCTACATTCCAAATTGTTTTCCTGGTTTTGTAGGACATACGAATATGAGGAAAAAGATATTGCAGGTCACATGTGTTAGATCCAATTTAGGGACTTTTCATAGTGTGAATACATGTACATGTAGTTCTCCTGGAATTCTTTCTACATGTAGGTAGGCCCAGCAGTGTCAGCACAACATAATTGATTGAAGATGCTTTAACTAATAAACAATCGGCCAATCAGTGTCCTTTCCTGTATTTACTTCTCGAATAGAGAGGAGCTGTGAGAACCATGGAGGAAGGAACACAGACAGCTATGAAAAGTTGTGTTTGTTCCCTAGCCCTTCTTACATGTATTCAATATCATTCTCCTTTCTGAATCGTGTTGGGTACATGTACCAGCCCACAGGAGCGAGTGATAAGTTTGTCTTTTTTTTTAATTTGGAAAGGAGGCACTCAATAGTCGCTTGGGAAACAGGCTAGAGTTGTTGCATTGTTGGCTTTTTAAATTGCTGCCGTGGCCATTTGGCAAATCACACCATATTGCTGAAATAGGTCACGCACTTGTGCCACCTGCAAATGAAGGTTGTGCCAGCTTCTAATTCTGGTTAATGATCGACACTCAATCTCAATACTCAATACGGAGTATCAGAGTAGCTTGGCTACAAAATATGGCTTGAGCATGGAGTCTGCTTCTACCTCCACAAGTAACTCCAGCCCCTACAGCTGTGCTCATGACATGAAATTTGCCCAGTCATTTTCCAGAGATGCAGTGATCAGTCAAGTGCTTATTTTTGTGACTTGAGTCGAGTCATTATAACATAGTGACTTGCATCAAGTCAAGTCATTGTAACGTATATATATGTGTAACAAGTTGAGACTCCGGTTGAGTCAAATCAAACATGTTGCCCAAGACAGATTTTACTTATAATAAGTATAAGTACTTATAATAAGTAATTAGTTATAATAAGTCACTAATTTTTGTGATTTTAGGTGAGTCAAGTCATTTTAATGTTGTAACCTGAGTCGAGTCTTTAAGCAAAAAGTTTTTTCATGTGGTCACATTATGTCTTACTCTTGATTATAAACCTGCACTGTAAATGATCGGCAATATTTTTTTACGAAGAAGCTTTTATTTTTAGGATTTGAGTCTTATCTTTCACTGAGTCATGTCTTCTGATGAGGGACTTGAGTTGAGTACATTACTCACAGCACAGTAACTCAAGTTGACTCATTGACCAGTTTGGCCAAGTCGAGTTGCCAGAAATTTTTACTCGAGTTGCATTCGAGTGGCCTCACTGACTCAAGTCATCACAACTCTGTCATTTTCATTTGGATTTTTTCTCTCTCTTGTAAATTCCCCCCAGTTTTAAATACAGTATTTGCTCCTTGTGCGGTAAAACAGAAAGAAAAAGCAGGCCCATGACAAGGATTTGGCAGTCACTGCCCCCAGCGAGTCCCCACACGTTGGGCCCACCCATCAGGCTGTGGGTGGTTGCTGTACTCTTGATGTGTCAGTCATGGAAACCTTCATCCTGCCAGATTTCATCCGCAGCTCCTAGCAACTGCACACTACGTAAGCCACTAGCCAGTCAACTGTACTCCCTGTCCAGTCTGTGTCAAATTACCCCATTTTGGCCCATAGGTTAGGCTAATAAAATTAGATTGATTGTTTCTGGTCAGTGCCTGCGTATGATTTTGGCCTCGCATCCAAAAAGTTTCGTTTAGGCAAAACTTGACGGAAAATCCCACTCCTATCTTTGAAGTTACATGTACATTCCAGTAATCTCAGTCATCAGAACACAAAAAAATCTGGAGCCTGAATGCCCATGGGCACCCTGTCAGCCTAGCGGGACACCCAATAGCCTTTCATGCCTGTGAAAAGGGTATTATATTTCCATGATAAAAAATAATAAATGATGGAATAAAACCCGCATGTAAATTCGAAAAACCCCTGACAAGAAACAACATATCAATTTTCATTGGCCTTACTGAGATACAGTCATTTTGAATATAAACAGTTTTACTGATTTGCACTTAAATTGGACGAAAATAGACAACAAGGAAACTGTCGGTGCAAAAATGGGGCTAAAACTCGAATTTCAATCTTTTCTGATCACAGTTAACCCATGACCAAAATATGACCCAAATTTAAAGTGATGGGGCTGATTACCAAAATTTTGGGTGATTTGACACAGAATTACCCGATTTCAATATTTTGAAAAAGATTTATTGTGTCATAGATTGATTAAAAGAAATTTAAAAAAACACCTCCACCCCCAAATAGGTGATTTCTTTTTCTCTGTGAATGCGTACATTTGTGCAATTGGATAAAAGGGATCACACTCTTACAGTTTCACTGTCATGAACACAAAAACCAGAGTAGAAACAGAATTTGGCTTTAGGAACTTCCATCCATATATATTTACATGTACTTCAACTTCGAAGCGAGTTTATCATTTCTGTGGTTTGTGATGTAATAACGTCTGGCAGTGATCCACACCTACAGTATTTAAAAGATTCTTTTTTAGCCAGAATAGTTTAAAATTTACACCTCTGTACGTTCAGGTACCTTGTTCGAGGAACTATTCATGAGTGGTCATGCAGTGCTGCTTCAAAATTTAATGATTAGATTTTCGGATTTTAAATGACAAAGTGCTGGGTGCATTTCAGTCTTGAAGTTGAGTCCCCCACTGGTCCTGTCACAAGTCCCATCACAAGTACCAACTTAAGGCAAACAGGGACAAAAGGACACAATCCTGGAATGTTTTGGTCACAGATTTATTTGAACAGCCTGTGTTGGGACTTCAACCTGAAAGTACCGGACTTTTGTACCATGTTACAGCTGTAGGGCGGGGCAGGGGGATCTCCTAATATCTCAGCTGTCCCAAGTCCGACCTGTTTGAGACTTTACATGATAAATGTTACCTAGACGTGCCTTATGAGTACGTCTGTGAAGTTTGAATTCAGTCTCAAGGGTTTTGCTGTTATATGGTCATTTGTAGTTCATGGCCTGCATGCAATTGTTGAGCACATTGGTGGGAGAAGCCGACCAGTTTGGCAAACTTGTCTCAGGAAATTCAGTTTTTCACAAAATTGCCGTCAGCACAGTGAGGCGTTACTGGCTAAACTCTGAAAGGCTCAATACACACATACAGAAATAAAAAGCCATGCAGTGATATTGGAGAAAGACCTTCGGTTCTTTTAGGGTTAAGACTGGAGAGCCTACAGTGGACTTGTGATGGACTTGCAGGGACTTGTTTATGGGTTATTCCAGAAATCAGGGGTCCATTTTTTTCATGTGGACCCCTGTCACATCTGACATATGATTTTTTAAGTTCAGAACACATTTTCCAATTTCCAAGAGTGATGAATTAATGCAAAGTACCTGCCAACAGTGGCCAAGCAAATAGTAATAGTTTGAAATCATTTTCGGTGATATTTCCATGTCAGATAACAAAGGTCAGATGTAACAGGGACACGAGAATGTCACACTTTTGGACCCCTAATTTCTGGAATTAGCCATATAGACTTGACTACAACATGGGTGCAGCCACTGTAAATTAGTACTTACTGGTTGGTTTCATTTTTTGGGGGTCATGACCATTCACTTCCAATCTTGACCTAGTGACCATGGCGACCAACCTGAACGTGGCTGAGGTTGGCAGTGCTGTTCACCTGCACTGCAGCCTGGCTGCCCCACCCGACCAGTCGGCGACAGGAAGCGGCAATGCCAGCGATGACCTGCAGTGGTTCCACAATGGCAGCCGCCTGACGGGTGTCCTGATCGAGGTGGTGGATGCGGTCACCTCTAGGCTGACGCTGGAGAGTGTGGAAATAGAGAACAGTGGACGGTACAGCTGCTGCCTCGCCCCTAACTGCACCGAGGCTTGCTCCACTAGTTTGGACCTCCTTGTCGGCAGTAAGTACCAAAATATATCCCTAAATTCTAAACGCCTCATCTTCTGGCTCTCTCTCTCTCCACTGCCCTCCCCCACCAACACGCTTGAAAATAAGTACTTGTTATCACAATTTTAGTGTACCATCTTTCTAAAAGTGTTCTCCCCTGACGTTTTATTGGTGTGAATCAAGTCACTAACAAGATGAAGTAGAATCTTAGTTCTTATTCCCTTACGTGATTAACTGATTCTTACTTTAGCTATTTGGTAACAGTGTGGTTCTTCTTAACGTCAGGGTTTTCTTTTCGAAAGGCTCATAAACATGAGAAATAAACAACTCAACCAACGAAACCTCTCAAGAATTCCACGCCCTTAAGTTTGTCAAAGCCAATTGGCAAAACACAAAGTTACATGCACTCACTGTCAGCTAAAAACCGAATGATACCCCGGTTCCTGAATACCTGTTAAGAACCAGCCTTGGAGAATGTCAAAAGCTCAAAATGGTAACTGAAACCGAATAACTTTTCAAAAGTAGTAAAAAAAACACCAAATTCAATTCCAACCTTATCTAATCCACATGCCAATCCCAAAGCCAGTCTCAAACTGCAACAGGTATCCCAATCCCAAGCCTGAAGACCTACAAACCTCGTACCTGAACCCAGCCCCTAACCCAAACTCCACCAAAAGCTCAACCCAGTCTGGAATCCAACCAAAGATGAACCCATACCCAGATGTTGGAGGTGTCAGCCCTAAAACCTAACCTAGACCCAAACCCAACCCGAATACAAAACCCAACCCAAAACAAAACTCAAAATAGACCTCTGAAAAAGTCAACAAAATTGGATGCTTGTAATCCTGAGGCAGAGCCTCGTGATTTTAATGTCGGGGGTTTGATAACCTACCAGGGCCACCAGAGCCTGCGACTAATTTGCATTGCGAGAGCAACGACTTCCACTACGCAAACTGCACGTGGACACGGGGCGGACAGCACAGCAACCTTCCAACCACTGATGTACTGCAGCGAAAGCCAGGGACTAGGTATGTGTTACGGGAAATCATTACACTTGTTTAAAAGAGACCAAACAACTCTACCCACGTCACTAATCAAGTATTAAAAAAACCTTCACTTGACTTGAGTTGCACACTTCAGTGACTCATTGCTGCACTAGATACATGCATGTACTATGTACATTAGTTTGTTTCTGCATTCAACTGGGGACCTTGAACAA